GTAGTAGCTAGTCAAGTGTTTCTGTTCATAGTTTGGGAAATTTGATTTTAAGTGTTTTTCAAATACTATGTAGTTTTTAATTAGAGTATGAAGCTGTTAAAAATACCTAAGTGGAAATATCTATTAAAACTTAATTTATAATTGAGGCAAATGTTGATAGACATTAAATAGACTCAATATTAGATTAGAGAGTCACAAATGTCCAGATAGCTGGTTTGAAAAGTGTAGAATCTTTATACTGATTATTTAAGATCATAAGTTTAACACTAGACAAAAACAAATAAAACTAAAACATACTTCACCACTATTTTGGAACCATGAATTACTCTACAAATAACAAACTGTTCATCTGACTTTTAAAAAATTAAGCGTAAAAGATTTGAAACAGGAAATTTTTGGGATGAAAAGGACAGGTTTTAGGAAATTTTAGAAATCAAGGGATCCATGGAAGAAGCACAGGGCTGCAGAGCAGCAGAAGGCGCATTTCCATAGAATAGGGGAGCTGAATAGCTGCAACAGGCACATTTCTATAGAATGAGGGAGCTGGGAACAAAAGAAGGTCTATATTTACAAAATAAAGGGAAGGAAGCCCTTCAGCCAGAAGGAGAGGCTTTAATACCTTTCCACTTTTGCTATACCAGCTTCTGCCCATGATTCATTCTTTGACTCCGGTGGACAAAGAATCCGGGTTCCATTCCAAAAATTCCATTTCAGATTGATATTTGCTCAATCCCAATAGCATGAATTTTTTTTTGGAAACTTGAAAGACTTCTGAGGCAAATAATTTCTAACTAATCTCCAAAAATAAAAAAAAAAATATGATTATGATAAAGTTTACTATGCACTGTTGTGGATATTTATTGATTTGTTTATGCCTTTAACTGACAATTTTTTTTTATTACCTACTTATCATTCTAGAGGGACTGTGAGGTGTCATAGAGGAAAAATAAAATATTTTTGTTTGTTTTGACTTTGAAGTTCTAAGAGGCAGGTTAAGAAGCATCAATAGACAAGTCTCTTATGGAACCTCAATCCTTCCCTTACACTGGGGCGCTGATGTCCCCCTTTGATTCTTTGATTTCAACACTGAGTATGTTGCAGTCAGATTATTCATCCCAATATTACATATAACTCAATTTTCCTTTTTTTCTTTTTACTTTTTTACAGATATTTTGCCAAGTGTACATTATTAACTCTGGGTTTGACCAAATTGATCTATGGTGGAAAATTTTCTCTAGTAAATTGTGATATTTAGAGGTATAGTGACAGAGCTGGCCAAACACATAGAATCCAACAGTATTATTAACACTCTCACAGAGCCTCGTGAAAGGGGTTCAGAAATAGCATATGTTCCCTGTGCCAGTCTCTGTGGGAACCATAAATTGCACCTTTATAGAAAATCTTCATTTCAGTTGGGCACTGGTTTCCTCTACTTAAATGTGTTGAATATTAAAGATGTGGAATACCCAAAAGATCTGACATGTATACTAGTAACCTTAGCATCCTACTATGATATAGCACAGCAGGCATTGTTATTTCCTTGTTTTACAATATGTGAAATGATTCCTAAAGAGGCTAAATAATATATTCAAAATAAAAACTACACTAAACCCAGATCTCCATAATGACTACTTTCCATCGCAAACTTAGACAAACCCAAGCTAAAACTAATAATCATAGGTTTGATAAGATCTCACATTGCAGGATGAGTGTTCATAATAGTGTATTAAAATCACAATTGAGTAGGCAGCTTAAAATGACTTCATTTCCTTATGTTTTACTTAGGCAAAAATCAAGCTCTAAGTAATTGTTACATGTTCAAAAGTTAGATATGTAACTTCTAAGTAATTGTTATATGTTCAAAAGTTAGATATGTCTAAATGGTACCCAAGTGAAGTTTATTGATAAGATTTAAACTTATAGCTATATAGATTTTGAGAATGCTTTTTAAAGATATGCTTTTATCTCATTTATAATTGAAATGTTTGTATGGATTGAAAATTTTTAATGTTCCTTTTTCAATGATTTAAACACAATGGATCCAGAATTATACAGTTATTTTTTATATCTATTCCTTAAAAAACAGTATTGTTTAAGTAATATGTTTTTAATTCATTTTGATTTTTACAAGGACAATCTTAAAACTATAAGCATCACTAAATACTTCATTCTTGCCTGTGGGCTATTTTGTATTTTCTTGATAAAAATATAGAAATAAATTTTTACTTTTTACTTACACACATGCAAAAGAGTAGTTTGGAAAATATCTTTTTTTTTAAATTGAATTTTAACCCTGCTAATTTTTAAGCAATTATAGAGAATAATATTTTTAATTGGTTACTCTTTATTTTTATCTTTAGGATAAAAGTAAAAAGTAAGCCTATTCTATTTCTATCTTTAGGATAAAAATAAAAAGTAAGCCTATGTGACTGATTTGTGAACTATTTTAAGGTAATGATTTAAAATATATTCTGTTTCAGCTTTATATTGTGTCAAAGAATAATATGTTTCTATATGTGTACCTTTTGAATAATGATATATTCAATGACTTTGGAAAAACTAACTTCACATAAATGGAGTTAGGTCATTAGAATACCTTGAACTTTATATTATCAAACTGGGTTCACTAATGTGCTTTTTTCCCCTTCAAAGCTACTCCTCATTTTATCTTTCCTATTTTTATGAATGGTTCCAACTCTCCTTTGCTTGTATAACTAGAGATACATCTAAAACATACCCCTCAACTTTAGCAAGGCAACCTGACATCAATTTGTCTTTAAGTTTTTCTGGAATCTGCCCCTCTCTCCCCACCCAAATACTCCTACCCTTATACAGACATTTTGAGTCTATTTGCTAGATTATTCTGGCTCTCCTGTCTTTGATGTCTCCTTAGCATCCCTTATTCAGATTGTTGCCAGAAATTTTTCACTGAATCACTGTAAATTTTTTTTTTAAAAAGGAAATTACCAAAAGGAAACCAATTATCAACAGAATAAAATCCAAACTTTCTTTTCTTTTTCTTTCTTCCTTTTTTTTTTTAACATTTTAAGTTTTATTTTATTGTTTAAAGTATTATAAATAGTAGTACATATGTTCGTTCTTTCTTTTTCTCTTTCTCTGGCTGTCTCATTTATTTGTTTGTTTGTTTATTAGCATTTAGAGCATTTAAATAACCTTTCAGGCCCTCTGAATAGGTGACTTCTCATTTTTGCAGTACTCTCCTGAAGGTGTACTATGGGAGGAACATAGCATGGTGACTGACAGCACAGATTTAGGGGCAAAATAGTCCATGTTTGAATTAAAGTCAGTTCTTTAGGTTAACTGTGTGACCCTGGGCAAGTCACAGCACACTTCTGTCCCTCCTTTCCCTCATATGTTGTTGTTACAGATGCTTTTTGCAGATATTGAATTAACTAGAAAAATACCGTGGATGGTCAGTATATTTATACATAAGTATTTTGCTTATTGTAACTTGTGTCATTGTGACTAGTTTTAATTGTTGCCTTCATAGTTTTTTTTTTTTTTTAATGTATTTTTTTTTTTATCGATTTCAGAGAAGATGGGAGAGGGAGAGAGAGATAAGACCATTAATGATGAAAGAAGAATCACAGATTGGCTGCCTCCTGGGGATCCAGCAACCCAGCATGTGCCCTTGCCTGGAATCATACCCAGGACCTAGCAGTCCACAGGCTGACATTCCATCCACTGAGTCAAACTGGCCAGGGTTGTTGCCTTAATAGTTTTATCACCTTTGTGGAGTCCAACGGTCATTCTTGTTCATCTTTCCCAGGGTACTCCCTAAACAAAGTAGATTCTCGGCAGATGATCCCTAAATTTAACAAAATATATATGAAATATGACAAACTGTGCAAAATTGTTTCTTAGATAAAATGACTTGTATTGATGGCACAAATATCAGTCATTTCTTTTATTTAAATAAACTTTATTGAGTTATAATCTTCTTACAATAAATGCACCAATTTTAAGAGTAGAGCTCCGTGAATCCTGATAAATGCATGCATTCCTGTAACCTCTATTCCACTCAAGATGTAGAATATATCCCCCACCCACTCCCCCAAGTTTTCCTTTGTGCCTCTCTGCAGTCAATCCTCACTTCCTACCCTACCTGAGGGAACCACTTATAGACTGGCCATACCTGCCCGGCATTTTTTTTTTTTTTTCATTTTTAAGCTAGACTTGTTTCCATGTTTCAACCTGAATCATCAGTTTCTATACAATACAGAGTAACATGCAAATGGAAGACTTCTGGGCATGGGGGTAGGGGGTATGGGTAACTTTTAATTGAACGTGGAAAATATCATTTTGTAATCTCAAAGCCATTTGATTCTTGAAACTTTGCTTTTTGGATTGTTTGTTTTTACTCAGTCATTTTAGGCACAAGGGTGACCTCTGGCATGATGGAGAGTATCCTTATTTTACTCTCTGGAGCTCTTGAGTGAAGGGAGAATCCTGGCAATGCCTGCTCCATTGTTTGCAGTCAGGGCTCCTGACTCCTTCTTGGCCCCTAGTTTTCATGGAACTTTATTCCTGGGTAAAAGCACGCCCTGTGCTGCAATGTGGGCTGCGGGAAGGACCCCTCTACCTGCCCTGACCTTGCTTGGGTCTCTGCGGAGGACAGACAGACAGACAGACATCCTCTGACCACTACACCTGGGGACAGAGTAACCCCAGGAAGGGTCTGCAAGGGTGTGACAGGGTCGCCCAGAGCCAGGGCAAGAAGTCACAGGGTGGCGCGGGGAAAGGGGCCGGGCCGGACATGGCCCGCAGACTCGGGGCTTCACACACACACACACACACACACACACACACACACACACACACACACACGCACACACAGAGGCCGGAAAGTGGCCGGAGGAAGCGGGCGCGTCACTGGGGACGGAGCCGGGACCTGCCGCGCCCGCCCCGCAGCCACCGTCCCGGGGACACCGTCCGACACCCAGCCGCTCCCGCCGCCGCCACCGCCACGGCCGCCGCCAATGAGACTCCTCCCGCTCCTCGGTGAGTGCCCGCGGCCGTCCCCGCGGGGCTGGGGGCCACGGGGGCCCCCGGGGGCCCTGGCTCGCGGGCCGCAGTTTGCCGAACTGAGCGCACTGCACTGGCCGCACGCGGGCCGGGCCGGGCTCCCAGGGCGCTGGCGCAGCTCCGTGGGATGTTCCTCTCTGGCCTTTCCACTCTGGGGTTCCCTATTAGGGGCCCGGGACTGTCACCTTTCTCCCCCAGCTGACAAGATCCCCCAAATCCTCAAAGTCTTAGACCTTGGCCTTTCTTCGGAGCCTTCCCCCGCCCAGAAATTTGGGGAAATCCAAACTATTCACACTTTGGGAGAGTTTCCTGGCATCCCAAGGGGACTTGGAGCTCAGACTTCGGGTTCATTTAAAACACCGTTTTGGTGATGCTGTGCAGAAAGAAGAGATGTCACATCCTCGAAGGCGAATTAACTGTGGTTCAGGCGGTGTGTTCAGCCCTAGAGGAGACTGGGATTTAGAAGCAGGTGTTTACGTATCTCTTGTTACTAGTAAGGACAATTGTTCTGAGGTGACTGAAAATATTCAGAAAATGTGCAAGGTTCATAACTGTCCCTTCTTGAGAAGACCGTAGACAATAATAATAATAATAATAATAATAATAATAATAATAATAAAAGGAATGCCCTATGGTCTTCCTTATTCTTCCCTAAAAAAAAAAACAACCACCATTTCCAACTTCGTTTTCAATCCCTCTGTAATACGTCTTGTTGCTGGATTTTCTTGGTCATGTTTGTGTGGGGTTCCTTTTACGGAAGACCAATCTTTAACCAGTGTGTTGAGTTTTATTTTAATTTCCTCTACTGGAAGAAAAAAATGTAAAAGACTGTTTTTAATAGAAAGGCGGGATTTTAAAAGATCATTAGAAGGTAATAGAAAAAATAGCAATTGCATTTGTCCTTCTGGGTGTTCTATGTTGCTCTTCATCTTAAAAGAACACAAATTAGCCAAAGCAGGTTTGGCTCAGTGGTAGAGCGTGGGTCTGTGGACTGAAGGGTCCCAGATTCGATTCCGGTCAAGAGCATGTACATTGGTTGTGGGCACATCCCGGGTAGGGGATGTGCAGGAGGCAGCTGATCTCTGTTTCTCTCTCATCGACGTTTCTAGCTCTCTATCTCTCTCCCTTCCTCTCTGTAAAAAATCAATAAAATATATTTAAGAAAAAAAAAGAACACAAATTAATGAACAACATAAACTGATGAACAAAAACAGACCCAGAGAAAGAGAAGCAGTGATCAGACTCTCAAATCTCAGAGGGAAAGTAGGGAAGGCTGGGGGTAAGGGGAAGAGATCAACCAAAGGCTTGTGTGCATGCATATGGGCCTAGCCAGTGGCCATGGACAACAGGGGGGTGGGAGCATATGTGGGGAGGGGTTTGGGATGGGAATGGGGGGATGAGGACAATTATGTGATACCATAATCAATAAAATTAAAAAGAAAAAGAGCACAAATTTGAATTTAAAAAATTCAAATTTTTAAATTTGTGTGATTTCAGCACACAAGCATTCCCAGAGGTGGGGAAGGGGATGCTTTACAATCAGCAGGTACCTTTAAAAGGATCTCACCTGGGTGAAGGTGAGCCTAGGAACACCGTGTTCTTTATAAAGCTAGTTGTAAAATTTTAGCTTTTGTTGAGATTTCCTTGGTAAACACTGAGATAGAAAAAATGCCTTCATCTTTTTTACTTACTTGCTCTTCTGCTGTTTTTACCTAAATGTTCCCTTGGGAAATCCTTATCGTCTAAGCAGAAAGAGAGAAGACTTATTTGTATTTACTGTAATCTAACTCAACAATGAGAGGAAACTTTTCTTTTTCTTTCTGAAAAGGTTTTCATTTTTCTATTTTCTTTAGTGGGTTTTTCCACTTTGTTGAATTGTTCTTATACTCAAAGCTGCACCAGAACGTGTCTTCCAAACGCAAAATGTGATATACGGGATGGAGTGGAAGCCTGTTATTGCAACATCGGATTTTCAGGAAATGGCGTCACAATTTGTGAAGGTAAAAACGATCAATATTAACTTTTGGATTTTATTGTAAGATTTAATTTTGATGTGATTGATTTTCCCCTGTCCAGAAATTAAAGCTTAATTAACTAAACAATAAGTTTGAATTTCCCTTGTCAAAATTTATACTTGATTATATATTTTTGATAATTCAAAAATTATGTCTTTTTTAAAAAAATTAATATTAAAGTCTTCACTTGAACTGAAGCTGGAAAACTTAAGTTGCAAAGAACAGAGTCACAAAGAACAAAGTTCATGATGTCCAGGCTCTATTGCTAAACGTTGTGCTCAGAGACTCTACGTAGTACTTGATTACCTACATTTGAGGATAATATTAAGAGATTTCAGGTTTTCCCCAGCTACCTTGGGTGATGGAGAGAGAAAAAGAGGAAGGGAGGGAGGGAGGAGAATTTTGAAAATGAATTATTTGTGGAAAAGTAGACCTCATTTATAAAATTTTATTCTAGAGCCCAGAGCAAAAATACTAGGAAGGGTCGTTCTAGAATGCAATGCAGCCATTGACTTGATAAGTATAATGCCATCTGATAACCACATTTAAGTGATTTCTTCTCTGAGGTCTTCACCACCACCATGCCTCCTCTTTCTTCAAGAGTCACTTAATTTTTCTTTATTCACTTTATTCATTTTTAATAGAATCTAGTTTTGACTGAATCAATAGAACAACATTCTATGTAGAAGGAAGAGAAAAAAGTTTCAAACCATATAAATAAGTTTTAAGATATAATTGTCGAGTTCAAATTTGAACCATGTGGCTTTATACTGTATATATTTAAGATAATAGGGACTTTTTCTAATTAAGCCAGGATATTGCACACTATTAATATTGCAAGTGTTTGCTTATAGCATAAACAGGTTTTATCTTGTAAATCGATTTTATAAGCTCCTTAAAAGGATTAAATATGCAGTACACTGTAAGACCAAACCTCATTATAGTTAGTGTAAAGTTTAACAAATGTAGAACAAGGCTACAGTAGTTTAATGTTGCATTAGATCAGTTCTTTCTCTTTGTAATATACTTGTCTACAAGCACCACAAAATTCCTTTCATAAACAATCTTGGGTTTTTATTGTATATTTAATTGAATGGCATTATGGAAAGTTGATAGTTGAGTGATCTTCAAAATACTGTATCAAACATACTAGTGTGCTTTTCTGCTAATCAGTACAAATTGAACCATGGTACTTCATAAGCAGTGTTGTCTTTTTGTTAATTAGATATTTTTCAACTATTGTGATTACCATCATTGAAATCAATAATTTTTCACAATTTAGAGCATCAGCAGTCAAACAGCTGCTATCATGTATTTAATGATTTCTTTAAAAACACACCTTTTCCTTGCTGCCTAAGTCAATAGCCAGCTGATGGCTATTTATTTTCACTGGGCAGGGGGGGGGGGAGGGGAATACTTCAAGACCTTTTAGCCTGCAATTTTTTCCCCCCACAAAACACAATTCATAAGAATAGTTTTTCTTTTCAAGTTCTTTTTAACAGAAACCACCCCCATTTGTTTAAACTTAAATTCTCTTTTTTTTTTAGCTTAAATCCCAGTCTTATTTTTTAAAAAGTTATATATTCATTTGTTTTAATATTACTAACTGAGGTTTGTGACATCCTCTTAAAACTATTCAAACACTGTTTTTTAATCTTTTTCACCTTTTATTAATTCACTGACAGATTTCTTTTATTTTTAGTAAGTATATTTAATCTGCTTTTAAAATTTAACTAAACTGAAAATATATTATCAATTATTGTTGGCTTCTTTTATCTCTGGAGAAATTTCCCTTGGTTCCTGTCTTTCTTAAAGATTGGTATTTTTGTGTTTCCCCAAAAATAAGACATCCTCCGAAAATAAGACGTACTTACAGGTTTCCCTCTGAGTGAAATATAAGGCATCCCCCTGAAAATAAGGCCCCCCCTTAGGCTAAACATGAGAGATTTGGTCCACTGATTCTGAAAGAAATGGAGTCACAAGAAATTCACCAGGAAATCCAGGAATTGGATTGTTATGATGATGTTCCAGAAGATGATGACATGATTGTCATTGAATAAATGAGTAAATTCTTGATACTGTAGGATTCACAGTTTGTCTGGTTTGTGTTAACAACTACCGTACTACTGTACCATATACAGGTAATAAATTTCCTTTATTTTCATTTAACAATAAATGTGTACTGTATTTTTCTTCATGGAAAAATAAGACATCCCCTGAAAATAAGACCTAGCGCATCTTTGGGAGCAAAAATTAATATAAGACACTGTCTTATTTTTGGGGAAACAGTAAGGTAAATAAGTAATCACAGAACAGGAGTTTTGTTTCAGAAGGTGCCTACTACTTGAGGAATGAAGTTATTTTCTTTTTGGCATCATTACCATAATCTTCATTATCTTTAAAAAATTTGGCTCCTTTAGAGATCTTCCAAATAACTTATTATGTTAATAACCATTTCTCACTAAATGAATTTTGTTCCAAGAGCTGGTTTAGAACAAGCGATCAGAATTGAGATTATATGATCTATGAAAACTATTTTATTAGTAGTGAATTTATTACATTTAATCATATTTTTACTGAACAAATATTTAGTGAGCACTTTCATCATCATCGCTATGATTATCACCATCACCATCAGGATAACTAGTATCTCTATGCATGTCGATCAAGATATTAATTAGCACAACATTTTTATCTAGAATTATTCCCATTTTGTCTCTTTTTAGGAAATAGAGTCCTAGAAAGATTAAGTGAACACCTCAAGTGTTACAACAAACTAGCGGTGGAGCCAAAAGTTGAACCCAAGTCTGTCTGATTTGAGAGCCTTTACTTTTCTGACTGTGTTTGACCATTAGGCCTCTGCTTAACATATAATATATGCCCTTGGGTTGAAATAATAAATAATAAATAGTAAGTAATAACTTGGCCCTGATTTCTAGAATATCTAGGGGCAATTACAGAACTGCATTTATGACTTGATGCAATATCATAGAAAATATAAATACAGGTAAATTTGAGATGTGCAACCAACTTCAGGAAAGCTTTCTGAACGGTGATAACATTTAAGCTGAGAATTGAAGAATAAATATAATTTATCAAGATTGACAAAATGTCAAAAAGAATCAAGCAAAAGAAACCAGATTTAACAAAGGCCTAGAAGTTGAACATGTGTGGTGTGTATTAAGGTGTTCCAAGTGTTTTGTGCTGGATATGTATCACAGGGTGTATTAATTGAGCGATCAGTGGGAATTGTCAGGATATCAAGAGTATGAACTTCTGTTAACAAAGAAGAGTCATTGGTAGGTAGTAAGTAGCTGAGTCTCTTAATTGTGTATTAAGATCAGCCTGTTGTTAGAGTAAGAATAAATTAGCAAGGATCAGTCAATCTACAAAAGGCTATTTTACCCAACCTATCAAAACAATAGCACTTTATATTTGTACAATTCATTATCTTTTATGTGATGTGTACCAATATATCTCTAATTTTTACCCAAGCTTTTGAAATAAAAAGCACAGATGCTATTTTTTTCTGACAAATATCCTTATGACAGGGTATAACTGGTTCTGTTGAGCTCCATGCTATACTCTTTTACATATGAGAGAAGCAGGACCCTGAAATCTTAAGTGAGTTTTACAGTGTTTGAGGCCAAAGTGATAAAGCTAAGACTCAAATGCTGGGAACTCAACCTTTTTGAGATTGCCAAAGATATCAAAATGTTACTAGTCACCAGACATAATTGTGTAGTACAGGTTTTTAAACCAAATTGGTAAAAAAAAAAAAATCATTTTAATAATTTATTTATTATTTCAACAACTTATAGAGGTATGGGTGGGAATTTATTTACACACTTTTCTTTATGGTGCTCAGTGAAGAAAAGGTAAAGAAGTTTGTGTAAAAATTGTGGGGTGTATTTAAAGACTTTTGAAATTCATCTCTCCTACCTATCCCAGGTAATCAGGAAAGTAAAGTTGGAAGGACTGAAAGAATGTTTGTGTATATCTAAAATACAAAAATGCTTGAATTGGAATAAACTGTGCTGGAGAAATGAGAAGCTGGTACAAGAGGCTGCTGTACAGTGCACAGTTGGGTGTGAGGATGGGTGGAAGAGACAGTCTCCCTATTCTCATATACACGTATTAAGTGGGGCTACATTCTCAGAAATTTCATGGAATCAGAATGGGGTGGAGGGGAAATGCCCCAGGTTAGCACAGGAAGAATCAAGAAAGATGTCACTGCCAGCTTTTATGTATGTATAGAAATCTTTTCATGGCTTGGGTCATGCCTATTAAAAGTAACATCACAAATGTTTCACAGAAAGTAATGAAGTCTTGGTGCCCATAACCAGGGAGACATACTCCACATTTAAAAACAGGTTTTCATTATTATCTGATAACCATATCTATGCTTGAAAAATTCAACTGGAAGAATGTAATAAACTAGAAAGCTGTTTGACACTGGTAAAAGTAGAGAAAATGGCATAATAGCTATCTAAGAGTCAAGAAGAAGAAATAGTATATGGGGGAAATGTGGGAGAAATATTAATTAAAATAGCACACTGGCATGATTCTGCCTGTACTAAAACAGCAGCGTTGTGGACATGGTGATTGCTTCCATAAAAGCTGGCTTTTTAGTAATAAAGAGGATGCTCAGTAAAATGGATAAACCAACAGTCATCAAAATAGAGGCAAAACATACAAGATGTATGTGTCTGTATGTTATTTCATGTATATACACATCAGTTAGCATAATTAAATATACTATCCCAGTGGTTGGCAAACTCATTAGTCAACAGAGTGGCAAACTGTGGTTCGTGAGGTGCATGTGGCTTGCGAGCTGCAGTTTGCCAACCACTGTACTATCCAAACTATGTCCTACAAATAATAATTATAGTTCCAAATATTTAATACAGTGATAGTTTGATAAATTAAAAAAAGAAAAGAAATGTGAACAGAAAATAATTCTAATCCCTCTTTCTATCACATTT